AACCCTAAACCCTAAACCCTAAACCCTAAACCCTAAACCCTGTGGATCTTGAGCAGCTACATCGTTCCCATCTGGCACGGGCAGAGCGCTCGGCTTTACTTGCGCCAGTTCTGCACTTGGTTTCTACGCATGATCATTACCTCTGACCGACTCTGACCTTGGGCTCTTGCATCTTCAGGTCTACACGTTCTACCGTACGTCCTCATGTACCACAATCCCGGCTTTCCTCAGCCACCCTTCCTGCATGCATGTCTACATGAGTTTGAGAAAGTCTACAGATGCAAAGCAAGGTCGCTGGACAACACAAACGAAATTAGATTGCAGGATGGTCTTGTTTCGATGGCTGGCGAAACGTCGGCAAAACAAGAAGGTGAAACCGAGGAGCTCATCTGCACGCCGCCAGACTCTTCTTTTTCCAAGAGCAGGACTGTTTCTTTTCGTGAATGTACGTGCAGTTAATTTTTGTCCGTGTCGCGGTTCCAAGAAGTAGCATTCGACCTGTGCCCACAGAGTGTGCCCTGGCAGGAACTAAGTCCACCGAAAACTCTGCAGCCAAAGCTATTAGCGCTATGCTTTTTACCCTGATTCTTCCTCGTGCATGGTTTTGCTGGGTGGCTTCGCACTCCCCGTCTTCTTCTCGGGTGTCGTGCTTCACGCTCTACACATCCTTGGGGCCTTAGGGCTCCTGGTTTCTAGCACCCTGAGGCCCTAAAGAAATACAAACACCCTCAACAACAATCTTCGCCGGAGTGCTTTCGTATACTTGCATCTCCATTTAAGTCGCGTTGGCGTACCTGCGCAACAACGGCATCATCCACCGCGACGTCCAGCCGGAGAACATCCTCTTCAAAGGATGCCGCGCAAAGCTTATCGATGTTGGGCATTCCACCAGGCCTCGGTGGGAAGGGTGGGATGTCGAGTTGCATTGCAGGCAATCCAACCCTGTCCCACACAAGGCCACATCTTGGTACTTGTGCATGCCGTCAAGCAGGCTAAGAAGTCAGCAGATGACGCTTTGTTCCACGTTGGCCCCAGGCCACAGATGAAGGCATCTATGTGTGCAGTGTCAGTGCAAGACAAACCCCGTAGACAAGAGCCATAGCGAAAACTGCGACGAAAAAGCCTATGCCAATGCCATAGTTTTTGACTTATCAGGTTTTTTTACACCACTAACTTGGACAGGGCTATGGTAGCTTAAAGTGATAGGGAGGGGCGTCCGAGTTAAGATGTATTTCTTGCGAAGAAGATCAACGCGAAACCTCGGGTTCAAAGGGCATCTGATCAAAGCTCGCGGCTGGGGGGTATCGCGGCTGGGGGTATCTGACCAAATAATTAGTTCGCGCCAGTTTGGGGTGCGGGGGGTATCTGACCAGATCGCTCGCGCCAGTTTTGGGCGCTGGGAGCATCCGACCAAACAGATCGCGCCAGTTTTGGGTGCTGGGGGCATCTGACCAAATAGCTTGCGCCAGTTTTGGGTGCTGGGGCATCTGACCAAATAACTCCCGTCAGTTTTGGGCGTTGGGGGTATCCGACCAAACAGATCGCGCCAGTTTTGGGTGCTGGGGGCATCTGACCAAATAGCTCGCATCAGTTTTGCGTGCTGGGGGCATCTGACCAAATTCACTGGGCAGACGACGCAGTCGCTGTCGACTTGCGTGACACCGATGGTGGCGTTTTTCCAATTCAGGCGTTGCGGCCTGAACCTTAAAAGGGTTTATGGTCCATACACCGTCACAGGGGTTATAGTACAGTAGTATGGGGTCATATACCCCAATCTTAGGGTTCATGTAGTCCCCCCATCTATCGTGAAGGCCCTCAAGTTCATTTGTTCTATGTTATATGGAAATACGGGGGTTGTTCTTAAGTTGTGGTTCCCATATATAATCAAGAGTATAGTAGGGACCTGAAAGCGACCGTAGCGGTTTAGGATGGGGGCTATCAGCTTCAGCCCCGAAGGGTTGAGCCCAACCTACACTCCTGAGCCGAGCCACCCCGACACAGCATGCCAAACCGACGCAGGAGACCACAAAGAGCAGCCGGGCAGTCCCAAGAGGACCCCAGTGCAGAGCTCTTGCTGTAGACTTGAGGCCCCGATTTCGTTGTTAGCATTACTGGCGTGATTATGTCTGAGTGTTGTGATTTTGCTGTTCATTGTGATTCCTATTCTGTGTGTCATGTGCCATGTCGTATTGCTTGGCCATTTCTCCAAACCCGCGCCAGCCCTGAACTACTGTAAACCATAAAACCGGAAGCTCTGCGCCCCAAGTGCCCGGAAGCCCCGAACCCCAGTACACCCTTACACCCCAAATCAGGAAAACTGCGACTCCGCGAGCAGCCCTCAGCCCTAAACCCTAAACCCGCATGCGGACCGCCAGGACAGACGGCGAGTGCAGCCCCAGCACGCCCAAGACGCAGCCTCCTTGGCGTTTGCGGTTTACTCTCCTGGGTTTCTTGTGGAGGGCTTTGCAGTGCTTGGATTTAGGCTTTGTTGGACATTTCTGGCGAGGAGGGTCTCTTGTTGTGTTCAAAGCAAGAGCGGGAGCGAACTTGATTTCAGAAGAAGTGGCACAGGATCCAGCTGAACACCAGCTTTTTGCTCTTGTTGTAGCTAATGTTTAGTTGATGGCCTTTTGGACTTTAAGTATGTTGCTCCCCTGTTTCGTACTGTTCTGTGCGCTTTCTCGGGGTTCTTTCGCTCTTGCATCAACTTCTGTTGCGCCAGCAGTGCTTTTGCAACAGAGTTGTACATAAAGAAACAACGCCGAGAAGTGCTTCCATTCGGATACAGATTTCATGCCGCAGCCTAGAGAAAGGTCCCCTGGATTGTTGATGTTCATGCGAAAATTGATCTAACTCGGGTTCGGCGAAATTGTGGAATGTCGACATGAGAGACCCCTGAACCCTGTCTGCTGCAAGGACGGATCCGGAGTCGACGCCGCCGCCCTCTGGCCGGACACCAAAGGCTCCAATTGGGGTTGCTTGCGAGGGATCTGCGATGCAGTCGACTACGACTTTTACATGTTGAGCTGGGTCATTTGCTTACACATCGTGGTGAGTATAAGATGCCAGTTCATAGTGTATTGCCTTGTTCTCCTGCTACGGAGGTCTAGTTGTCTCCAGAGCATCTGGCTGAACCACTCTTGGCAACCCCGAAATGGACACCAAGACCATCCTCCGCATGTGACTATTCCGAGTCCTTGTTTCCTTTCCGGGGTTGCGTGTCCAACGACTCCCGAACCCCAAGCCCTAAAACCTCAGCCTTAAACCTTAAACCCTAAACCGTAACGCCTCCGATAAAGATACTTGGCAAACCTTGGCCTCAGCCAGGTCTCAAGCAAGCGTGGCCAGGCGACAGAGAGCGGCTCGACGACCCCAAGAGGTTGGGGGGACTGACTGCTAGGGTTTAGGGACTTAGGGTTCAGGGTTGGTTGAGTCGCTGCAGACCAGATGCAAAAAGGGTTCAGGGTTTAGGCTTGCCGGATTTAGCGGTTTAGGATGGGGGCTATCAGCTTCAGCCCCGAAGGGTTGAGCCCAACCTACACTCCTGAGCCGAGCCACCCCGACACAGCATGCCAAACCGACGCAGGAGACCACAAAGAGCAGCCGGGCAGTCCCAAGAGGACCCCAGTGCAGAGCTCTTGCTGTAGACTTGTGGCCCCGATTTCGTTGTTAGCATTACTGGCGTGATTATGTCTGAGTGTTGCGATTTTGCTGTTCATTGTGATTCCTATTCTGTGTGTCATGTGCCATGTCGTATTGCTTGGCCGTTTCTCCAAACCCCCACCAGCCCTGAACTACTGCACCAGCCCTGAACTACTGTAAACCATAAAACCGGAAGCTCTGCCTCCCAAGTGCCCTGAAGCCCCGAACCCCAGTACCCAAAACTGCGATTCCGCGAGCAGCCCTCAGCCCTAAACCCTAAACCCGCATGCGGACCGCCAGGACAGACGGCGAGTGCAGCCCCAGCACGCCCAAGACGCAGCCTCCTTGGCGTTTGCGGTTTACTCTCCTGGGTTTCTTGTGGAGGGCTTTGCAGTGCTTGGATTTAGGCTTTGTTGGACATTTCTGGCGAGGAGGGTCTCTTGTTGTGTTCAAAGCAAGAGCGGGAGCGAACTTAATTTTAGAAGAAGTGGCACGGGATCCAGCTGAACACCAGCTTTTTTCTCTTGTTGTAGCTAATGTTTAGTTGATGGCCTTGCGGACTTTAAGTATGTTGCTCGCCTGTTTCGTAGCGTTCTGTGCGCTTTCTCGGCGTTCTTTCGCTCTGACTCTTGCATCAACTTCCGTTGTGTCCGCAGAGCTTTTGCAACACAGTTGCTGAACCCTGTCTGCTGCAAGGACGGATCCGGCTCCATCCACGCCGCCACCCTCTGGCCGGACCCCAAAGGCTCCAATTGGGGTTGCTTGCGAGGGGTCTGCGATGCAGTCGACTACGACTTTTATATGTTGAGCTGGGTCATTTGCTTACACATCGTGGTGAGGATAAGATGCCAGTTCATGGTGTATTGCCTTGTTCTCCTGCTATGGAGGTCTAAGTTGTCTCCAGAGCATCTGGCTGAACCACTCTTGGCAACCCCGAAATGGACACTAAGACTATCAGCATGTGACTATTCAGAGTCCTTGTGTCAGGGGTTGGGCAACCAGTGACTCCCTACCTGTACAACCTCAGCCCTACTTGGTAAACATTGGCCCCAAGCCCAACAGGTGCCGGCCCTGATGAAGAATGCCATGGAGGCCTCCAGCAAGGAGCTTGCAAGACTGCAGTTATCGGTCCTGCTGGAAGGTTTCAGGCGGCGAGGCAACGCGCAATGGACATGTGGAGCTTGTGCCCTGTGCATCTGTGAGGATGAGAAAGGGCCATCCGAAAGGCCACAGGTTCAAAGCAACCTGTCCGCTTCTGCCAAGGAGTTTAAGCCACTCCCTCAGCAGTCTTGAGCATGAATCTTTTTGGGGCAGCGAAGTCGGGAGAATCTCGCATGACATTCGTTGCTGGCAGGCCCATGGCAAAGATCGAGGAAATGATCACCAATGCCATGGAGGCTGCACGCCAGCGGGCCACGCAGGAGATGGGGCAGAGGGTCGCACTGCCACAAGGTGCGCACGCCGTGCACTAACACGCCTAGGAAATCTCTGGATGCGCACACTGTTTCGCGCAGTTGCTGCAGTTTGACTCTGCAGGCCAAAATGCGCATGCCAACATCGAGGAGATGATCAGGATCGCCAAGAAGGCTGCACGCCAGCGCGCCATGCAGGAGCACGGGCAGTTGGAAGCACGGCCACAAGGTGCGCGCAGTGTGCAATACCAAGTCTAAAGCTCTGGATGCGCGCACGGTCTCACACATGTGCTGCAGTTTGCTTTTCCAGGCCAAGATGCGTATTGGGAAGATCCGTGCACAGAGTCCTGGAACTTTGATCAGCACGGCCATGGCCATGGTCAAGCCCATTATCCGGACTGTCAGGCTGGAGCTTTTGCCACCGATAGTATGACAACACCCACCCAAACAGCTAAGCGGGTCACGCCGACGTCGGCTCTAATGCAGCTGATTGCGTGCATAGGTTCTTCATCTGCAATGGCGGCAAGGTTGGATCCAGGCGAGAGTCACCAGCGTCGCGCAGTAGCCACCACAACAGACTCTTTTGAGCCTCTTTGACATATCCGCTGCTTCGGATAGGCAGGTGCTGGCCAAAATTGCTAGATGACAGACGACGGCCGTGGTCCTGGCACAGTATAAACGCCCCTTGCCTGTCCTGTTGGCTGGAGAAGCAGGAGAGAAGCAGCAAAGAGAAGGAGAAGAAGAAGACGAAGAGGAAAAAGAGAGAGAGAGAGAGAGAGAGTGCGCTCCAAGTGTGTAAGCGTGCAGGAAGGAAGAGAGGAGAGAGAGAGAGAGAGAGAGAGAGAGAGAGAGAGAGAGAGAGAGAGAGAGAGAGAGAGAGAGAGAGAGAGAGAGAGGGAGGGGCGCGGAGAGAGAGAAAGAGACACATGCACACGTGCACACACACACACACACATCTCCCATACCCAAGGTACACACACCCACACACCCACACACCCACACGCCCACACACCCACACACCCACACACCCACGCACCCACACACCCACAGACCCACAGACCCACAGACACCCACACACCCACACACCCACACACCCACACACCCACAGACCCACACACCCACACACCCACACACCCACAGACCCACAGACCCACAGAGCCACACACCCACACACCCACACACCCACACACCCACACACCCACACACCCACACACCCACACACCCACACACCCACACACCCACACACACCCACCTACCCACACACAACATGCACACACGTTCACACTCTCACTCTCACTCTCACTCACACAGACACAGACATTCTCACGAACACCCACTTGTGCTCTCGCTCTCCTCTCTCACTCTCACTCTCACTCTCACTCTCACTCTCACTCTCACTCTCACACTCACACTCACACACACACACATGTTGCAGCCCGGCTTTCGCATTTGCGAAAAGGGCAAGGCACAGGCTGCGGAGTTCTGGTTTTTGGGGAGTTTCAGTTCGGCTTTCGCGTTTGGGGTTGCAGCTCTGCTTTCGCGTCTGCGGAAGGGTGTTGCCGCTCTGCTTTCGCGTTTGCGGAAAGGGCAACTGCGGATTGCGGATATGGCAGGCCTGCGGAGCACGCGCACACGCACACACGCACGCACACGTGCACACGCGCACAGGCACAGGCACACACACACACACACATACCGACACACACCGACACACACCGACACACACACACACACCGACACACACCGACACACACACCGACACACACCG